AGAGCGGGGATAGGCCCCAGAAAGAGGCGTTTTTGTTCAGATATGAGAGACTCTCATGGGTTCAGCTGAACTGCAAGTCTCTTTCAGCTGTAGGTACTGCGCTGTCGGAATTCTCAGCCCTACAGTAAGATACTTGCCTACTGTAAGGTAGCTTGTGGGTAGGGATCAGAGTCAGGGACCTGCAAATGCATCCATCCATCTGCTTGTGGCCAGTGACAGGACAGATCTGCAACGAGGGAACAGACGTTGCGATGCGTTGGATGGATAATTATGGCGTGTTTGTGATCTTCGGGCCCGAGATTACGGGAACGGGAGCTTGATTTTTGCTTGGCGGCCGTGCTCTTTTATGAGAGACTGGTTGTTATCGTAGGTAAGGGTTCAAATGATTGGTCCCCTCAATCTTTGCTTGTTAATGGGCGTTGAAAGTGAGGTTGAGCAGATCAGATACAATCAAGGGCGGGTCAAGACGTGTAATCCAAGGGCGAAATGAAGAAAGGACGAAGTACCATTCAGAGGCTCTTCGGGCAGTAGACAAGAAAATGGCCGAGAGTTGTCAAGTTTGAGTGTTGCTCATGATGAGTTTATGTCCGTCGGTCCCGAGAGGGGACACTCTTGGCACCTTCGCGACTTTGATTTCCCAATCGGGTATAGCTTTGTGGTCTCCGGATCCGACCTATAACTGGTTCCTTCACCTTCGGGACCCTTGTTCTGCATCAAATCACTTCTCTCGGGTCAATTTTCGTAATTTTCTCTATTGGGATGAGTATTGACCGAGCACGCGCATCTTCTGTATGCAAATCTCTTCTAGGTCCTGCCGCTAGTTTCAACTTATTGCATGGCTCGGTTTTCAGTCCGTCCGATGATTACTTGCAGTGTAGATATATATCTAGCAAAATGTCCAGTTCAACAGGCCTCATCTTGCTCAGCAGCACCAGACTCCAGTGTTTCCCAATATTTATACTTATACTAATACTAATACGCTGTTTAATATCACATCATCTAAGCCCTTGCATCTCTAGCTGAATAGCTTCAGCTTCAACTTCAACCATGTCTCCCCCTGACAAGGCCGAATCTCATGCTCCAGATCGCAAATCATTCAACTCACTCTCATCAGCCGAACCACAAACGTATTCTGAACCTGACAACAAGAGATCATCACAAGATGAGAAGCCTCAGCCGCTTCAAGGCAATCAGCAAGAGTCCGCAAATGACACCAAAGACGAGGAGTCAACCCCCCAGGGCCCAGCTTTCGACAAAGAAGCTCAAGAGAACTACAAACCAAAGACACTGAAGTTCTGGCTTATCATCTTCTCCGTCTTTGCTGCCATGTTTCTTGTCGCTCTCGACCGCACAATCATTGCAACTGCCATTCCTCAGATCACAAACGACTTCCAGAGTCTAGGCGACATAGGATGGTATGGTTCTGCATACATGCTCACTACAGCTGCCTTTCAGCTCATTTTTGGTCGTATCTATCGATTTTACCCTTTGAGAACGACCTTCCTTGTCTGTATCTTGCTGTTCGAGATTGGCTCTGCTATTTGTGGTGCTGCTCCCAATTCTGTTGCTTTTATAATCGGAAGAGCTATTGCTGGTATTGGCTCTGCAGGAATTATGACAGGCTCAATGATGTCCATCGTACCTATGATTCCTCTTCATAAGCGGCCAATGTTCCAATGTAAGTATACACTCCCCTCCCCATGACTATACGAGTAATATCTAACATATTCACAGCCATGTTTGGCATGGTTTTTGGCATCTCGTCCGTTGTTGGCCCTCTTCTTGGAGGGGCCTTCACTCAACATGCCACTTGGCGATGGTGTTTCTATATGAATCTCCCTGTAGGATTCGTCGCCTCGGTCTTCCTCTTCTTCTTCCTCCACATATCGCCCAAGAAGCACGAGCCTGTTCCTGTTCTGAAGCATATCACTCGATTGGACCCGCTCGGAACATTCTTCTTTGTGCCATCCATGATCTGCCTCATCCTGGCCCTTCAATGGGGTGGCTCGACTTACCCCTGGGACAACTGGCGAATAATTCTTCTCTTCGTTCTCTTCGCTCTTACAGCCATTATTTTTGCTGTCGTACAGATCAAGATGCCCGAAACTGCAACAGTCCCTGCCAAGGTCATCACCCAGAGGACTATGCTGGCTTGTGCGTGGACTATGCTGTTTGTTGGTGGTGGTATGATGATTGTCGTTTACTATCTCCCCCTTTGGTGTGAGTAACCCCTGCCTTCATTTTGTTTATAACATACGCTTACAGATTATTAGTCCAAGCTACCAAGGGCGCAAAACCCATCGACTCAGGCATTTACACGATTCCATTAGTCCTAAGCCTTGTCGTAGCTAGCATTATCTCTGCTGCCTTCACCCAGCGCATTGGCTACTATGTCCCATCTATGCTGATATGTCCCTGTATCATGGCCATTGGAGAAGGGCTCTTGACCACGCTCAAGCCAGATACGGGTTCATCACACTGGATTGCCTATCAATTCCTTGTTGGCTTTGGCTTGGGCCTGGGAATGCAGACTTCCGGCCTCGCTGTCCAAGCAACGCTTCCCAAGGAGGATATCCCCATCGGAATCTCAATTACCTTCTTCGCGCAGCAACTCGGTGGTGCCATATTCGTCTCTGTTGGGCAGACTGTACTTAATGGACGCCTCGCGGAACATTTATCAGATATCCCAAACCTTACGCCCAAGAAAATTGTCGATGCAGGTGCTACAGAACTCAACAAGATAGTTCCGTCCGAGTACATGCCCCTGGTGAAGGACGCATATAACATCGCCATTACCCGAATATTCTTTGTAAGTCTGGCATTGACTCTAGCCCAGTTGGTTTGCGCATTTTGTGTGGAATGGAAGAGTATCAAGCCCAAGACCGAGTCATCGCCAGAGGCCGGCAACCCCCAGGTTCAACAGGAGTCAAAGCCGGAAGAGTCATGATGGACGATATATAAGACGCTTGAGGTTTGTAAGATTGAGGAGGCTGGTGACAAATAAACCCCCCTCATGGAACAAGACCGCACACACAAAAACAAAACAAATAGGACAATACATATGTAGATTAGAATAGGATAATAGCGATTACGAGCATACAATCATGTCCCAATTCCTCAAACAGGCAACTGATTTTGACTCGGATACAATCCGATTAGCCGGTGCAGCACCACACCGTGCACCGGCCGCCCTCAACACCAAGCGGTTGCTGTTTGTTGGACTTCCTAGTCGCACTCGGGAGGCGTAGGATGGCGGTGAAGCCTTTGTGCCATGATCATCATGCGACGTCCACCAGAGACGACTTGGACAGGGGACCCATCTCTATGATCGCAGAAAGGATCAAAAAGAAGGCATAGCCTAGATAATTCTTGGAAGTTAGTCAATATCTCTTTTACGGACAAACTTGTTAATAAATACCTTTAATGTGTGGATTTTCTCTCCTCCAAGTCCACGACGCTCAAAAGTCACATACATCTGTAATACTTCATTACCGCCATCTTTAGCTCACAGCTTATGCGCAATTGCGCCGAATTATCAGCGGTTTCATCCTCTCGAGCATTTCTTGAACTCAATTGCAATCGACATGTGCACAAGTATCAAGACCACAATGGCTTGCGGCCACACGTTCACAAACTATGCCACAGCATGTGGCATGGCCACAAACTCTCGCCCATGCACTCCCAATGTCAAAATTCAACATCTCAACGACACGTGCGCAGCGTGCGATCCGGCGGCCCGGAGGCGCCGTGTCCGTCAGGACTACGAGAGCCGGCACGCCGAGCTCATGGCCAAGTACATGGCGGCCAAACAGACGGGCGACGGAGCAGCCATGGCGCGTGTGGAACTTCTCGTCATGGAAAATTCCATGACCACAATGGAGCGGAATTTCGAGATCGGCATGCACTGCCAGGAAGAGGATGTCATGTGGTGGGAGATGGATTGAACGACAGAAATGTGCTGAAATGATTTATGATGATTACGAGACGGATCTGGCGTTGCCTGTAACAATAATGGGGGGACTACTGCGTATTTATGAACTACTTATAAACATCTGCCATTAATACTAGACTCCGAGCCTAACATGTCCTCAAACCATTATCCCAACCGTCTAACTAATATGTACCAGAGTCTAGTGTGACTCTTTAAATCCTCCGCTCTATGTGTATGACGCCGAGAATTAGATAAGTCGAGTATTGGTAACCGAGGTCCAGGTTCGGTGTTTTTCGTGTTCCGCGTAAAATGACAAGAAGGGAATCATTCTGGGTCTTGATGCCGAAAAGAGTGCCCTCAGCTCATCGCCGAGGGATGCAAAGTGGTATCCAATTTTTTATCAAAACAAAATGTGAGGCCGTGTCTTTCATAACACCTTTACTGAGGTGAGTTTCAATGCGATCTGGGTGATGGTGGCTGTGGTGATACTGATCGGTAGGTGGGACGGTCGTATTGTACGTTCTTGAAGGCCGGCATGAGAGTGTCAATGCCGAGTGGTGTCTGTATTGAAGGATAGTCCAAGTCGATAGAGCTAGCAGTCGACGTTGTCGATGTTGAAGAAGTATCGGAAGTGAAAGAGGTCGCTTGTTTGTACTTCTTGCTCGGCGCAGGCGAGTCGCTGTCGATGCTATCGCAATGAGGACGTTTCCCACTACGAGATGTCATGGCTGTGCGTGTCGTGGGTTGCTGGAGGTAGAAAGCAGGCGTTGTGATGTTTAAATGATGTGAAGCCGTCGACACGCGGACCACTTTGTCCGTACTTTGACCAAAGGCGGCGATCATGGTTTGGATGTGCCCAGAGATGAGAGTGGTGAGATAATATGGAGTGGACTCCCGAGGTGGGAGGGTAAATTCAAAAGTTGGTCAAAAACTGGAGGCGGCGACGAAGACGGAGCTGGGCGATGAACATCGGAGAATTAGAGATTGAGATTGAGTATGAGATTCGAGGCAGATAAGAGATGCGATTCCGACTATTTCAGATCAGATGAGTACTTGATATTTGCCGGAAAGATCCAGTTATGGTCCAGCCAGTGAGAAAGAGAGACAACCGAGAAGGAAGAAGAGGGGCTGAAATAGGTGAAGGGAGAGGAAAGAGACAATGGGACGACAATAGTAGTGGAGGATAAAGAGGATAAAGGATGATAGATCTTGAAAATCAATAGAGGGGAAGGAAGAGAAGGAAGAAGGAAGAAGAAAGGCGGAATGCGGAATGCGGAAAATGTGAGACTCGGGTGTATGAGAAAAAGGAAAAAGAAGCCACAATAATAATAAAGAAACAAACGTTCCGGCTGGTGGTATCGCCCGTCTGAGAGCCAAAATGAGATGCCTGCATTGGATGGATGGATGCATGCATGCATTTGCATTTGCTTTCACTTTGCATATCTTACCTTGAGCGGCTTGAAAAATGGTGGGGATGGTCAAGCTTGAAAGCTTCTTTTGAGTTAACAAAGGTTTATGCCTGATAAGATTTCGATTCGACTTTTATTGCGTTGTCATAAAGAACCGACACAGTAAAGCTTATTATGTCGCTGGTGAATGCCGTGCTGAGTAACCTGCAACCATGGCCGGTTTTGAACAAAGCAGTTGGTGTATCAAATGGATTGGATCTCGACTCCTGGATGATGATCAAAGCACCATAGACATAGCCACAGGCACGGGCACAGGCATGGATCTGCTCAACTAAGCGAGGTCGCGTCAACGTCGATGAACGATAGACAATAGAGATACCATAAATAGATTGATAATAGGATTATATCAGCTCATACACACAAAGCATAAAACACACGCCTGTGCTCTCAACTTCATTCATTGTATGATCATGACATGTCACTCAAACGGCGGCAAAATTCAGGGTTACATGCCGCCCATGTCGAATTTAGAACGGAAATTGAATGCTGACCTAATACTGTTATCACTCCAATGGACCCCACATTCAACTCTTAGCTCAGGTAGCCCTGGAGCTCTAGCAGCCTAGCATGGATGCGGGGCATCTTTATTCCCATGATCCGTCCACCAGCAACTCATCTCCATCACCCTTCACGCCGACGCCGCCTTGACCAAAGCTAACGATAGCTTCATTCAGATGTCAGACACACTAATTCAACCCCCTTACTAACTTCATAACATAATTTCCACGACACATTTCACTTTACACCCTCCGCTGTGTCTTCGCCTCAGCTCATCATGGCTGCCTCGACCCCCGCCAACCCTCTTCTCTCTAACCAGAAGAGTTCCGAGCTTCAGGCTGTTCTTCACCCACTCGTCCTCCTCACCATCTCCGACTACATCACACGTCATACTCTTCGTCAACAGGAAGGGCCCATTATTGGCGTTTTGCTAGGTCAACAGAATGGTCGCGAAATCACAATCGAGCATGCCTTTGAAGCTCACACCCGACAAGAGCCCAATGTACAAGGTGGATACCTCCTCGATGCCACGAAATTTGGCGCACGGTTAGAACAGAGTCAGTAGACTCGTCCATGCTATCATCGTCTCCCTCTGACCATGTACTAGTGATCACTGTCCATAAAGATAGACACCTCGACCTCGTTGGATGGTACACTCTTCTACCTTCTTCAGGTCCTACCCCGACTATCCTCTCAATCCACAATCAGATTCTCGAAGGTTGGAACGAGTCAGCCATACTCCTCGGGTTCCACCCGGAGCAGGTCCTTGACCACTCCGTTGGTGGCAGACTTCCACTCACTATTTACGAGAGCAACTATGAAGTCGACGACCAAAAGGCGGATAACGATGGAGAGGACAAGAAGATGGATGACGGGGAACCCACGCTCAAGCTCAAGTTCAGAGAGCTGCCCTACTCGGTTGAGACCGACGAAACCGAAATGATCAGCATGAACTACGTAGCTGCTTCAGGAGGAAACGCTGCTGCTGCTCCCCCAAAGGAAGACAAGCCCTCTCTGTCCATCGAGTCGAATGGCAAGGGCAAGCGCCGGCTAGTAGAGAGCCACGACGAAGATCATAACAAGGCGATTGCGCAGGATGATGAGGTTGTTCTGACACCAGAAGAGGACGAAATGATTGCTGCCCTTACAGCAAAGGCCAACGCTATCAAGATGCTCCAGTCTCGAGTTCTCCTTCTCACTACTTATCTCGAGCGTCTTCCTCCCTCGTACATCAACGGTGACGCAGCCGACTCCAGTAGTATGGACGCCGACTATACCACTCCATCAGCGACAGTGCTTCGCCAGATCCAAGCCCTCGTCAGCCGCCTGGACCTCGTCATTCCCTCTGACAGAGCCTCATTTGAGCGCGAGATGCTCCATGAGGCAAACGATGTTAACTTGGTGAGGCTCCTCAATGGCATCGTCCAGAGCGTCGGCCAGGCCCGCGACGTTGGCAAAAAGTTCCACGTTGTCGAAAATGCAAAGGCGTCGCACCGTCGTGGTGCTCCTCCTGGCCCCGGTCAGGATTTTGTCATTGACCCAGCTACTTACAACATTCGTGGAGCCGGCGATATCCTGATCTGAAATTGCTAGATATACGCGCGGAGGCCCGCAGGCGCAATGACGCGTACGACAGAAACGACCTAGTCAAATGCATTCAGCCCGGCGTTTGGTGTTCGAGGTAGATCACAACTTCAAATCGTGTTTTAGAGATGAATTAAAGCATAGACTAGTTATTCATATCATATTTATTAGTCTAGTGATTTGTGAGTGTTTCTCGGCTTCACGGGTCAAGTTGCGGTAGGGGTCAAATGTTCATGTTAATATCGTGGAACTATGTCTGTTAGGACGAACTCCCTGCCGATCCCTTTTCCCAACCCATTAAGCCATTTCATATCATATTTTGTGTCTTTTCAATCAAATATAACCTTCCCCCCAGGCTACCAATGTAGTAGCTGGTATCATCGTAACTGAATATCTATTTACCCCACCCCCTGTGAAATATGCCACTGGAATATGTGGCTTCTTGGATATCTTTGTCTATCATTCATAAGTCGTAAAAAAGCAATCTTGAGAAAGTTTTTATGCCTCAATAACAATCTTCAGGACAAGTTTGCCCTCATCATCACTGGTGCGTGTTGCTAGCTCAAATGCACGTTGTGCTTGATCGAGGCCCCTGAAACGATGGGTGACCATATCGTCCAACGAAGGCAGGCTACAACCAGAGGGATTCGCAGCTTGCGAACACAAAAGCCGAATACCAGTGGGATAGGTGTTGGAATACCGGAATACGCCCAGGATGTCAATCTCACGGAGGTGGGCCACAGAGAGAGGGAGGGTCTGGATCGGAGTTCCCATGCCCACCATGATTACTTTGCCGCCGGCTTTGGTGGCATATAAGCTTGTGTGCATGCACACCTCCTTTCCAGTGCACTCAAACGTGACATCAACACCATCCTCATCCTCCTCAAGCATGAAGGTACCAGCAGGGTTTGATGAAGCAAGGATATCCGCAGCCAATGATTTGGCTCCGTCGAAGCGGCTTGCTGTTGAAAAGGTGCTGGCAGGAGTAATGATACCAGTCTCGGGTGTAGAGATTCCAGAAGAATAGTTGGATGAGTTCAAACGGGACAGGGGGGTAACAAAACCATGGGTTGCAAATCCACGGCTTATGGCATAGTTGACACGCCCAGCATCAATATCAGTGATTGTAACTGAGGTGCAGCCTGATTGACGAGCCATTGCAGCAGTCAACAGGCCAACAGTGCCGGCACCGATAACAAGGGCAGTGGAGCCCGGCTCCGGCCTGGCACGGTTCACCGCGTGGATAGCTACAGACAGCGGCTCGAGGAGGGCGGCGGCCTCGAACGAGACGTTATCAGGCAACCTGCATTCGAGTTAGTGACCAGGGCTGTCAAAAGAGTCATGTTGAGCTTACTTGTGGCACCAAACAGCGGGATGGTTAATCCTCTCTTGCAATGTGCCTTGGTAGTGAGGGTAGGTTTTGGCACTGCTTCTGAAACGCAGCTTTTTGCATAGGTTGTAACGACCTTTACGGCAAGTGCCGCAGTTTCCACAAGCAACACCAACTTCAAGAGCAACTCGGTCGCCCAACTTGAAGCCACTCACTTGAGGACCAATAGCAACAACTTCGCCAGACGATTCGTGGCCTAGTGACAGTGGATGGCAGGCACAGAGATCGCCATTGGCAAACTTCTTGTAGTAGGAAACATCTGAACCACAAATGCCAGTCGCCTTGATAGCGATTTGAAGCTCGCCTGCTGCTGGAGCCTCGATGGTCCTTGTTTCCTGGAACGCGGTAAGTCAGCCAAATGTTCGGGTAGGGCTGAATCGACAGTAACCATAGAGATTGTCAGGGTCGGCTTACAAGTCGCAGATCGCGGGGACCATGCAAGACAGAGGCACTGATGCTCAATGGCTTCGATGGACCACCGGGTAGATGCGTTGGTGCGATCTCTCCCGTAGCAACTGGGGCCATAGCTGTCAACGGCAACGCTTGAAGCGTGGGATAAAGGTGGGATGTTGGTGAGAATGGAGACTTGAGGTCGGGCGATGACTTGATCAGTTGCCGTTTGGGGCAAATACAGCAAAGGGGATTGGCTGGTGGAGAGAGACGGAAACGTGGGAGTCGACCAGCGCGTGGGGGTAAGGGCCTAGGATAGCTCGTGGAGGCGCTCCAAGTGCCAAGTGCCTAGGTGGTAGATTGGTGTAAGATATAGAAGTATATAAGACTTGAATTTCTAGAGCTGTTTGGCACGAATGCTTGAGCCGATTTGGGCAGGTAAAAAAGGTTCACGGCTATGTATCGTTGGATCAAGCAAGAATGAGCCAAAGGAGATGGGTTCCCACCCCTTAAGTAGGTAACACTCCTCGCCAGTAACCTCCGGAGCAATTCGCCAGAGGAGTCCGAATCGAGAGCAGCCAGAAGCAAGGGCGTGCGCTCATCATTAAAATGATCAGTGCCAAGGTGGAGCGGCGCCTAGAGGCGTTTGAATTGGGGGGAGAAGGCCCAGTCAGGAAGCAACAAGCTATCGGTGGGAAACGAGGAGCTTTCCGTTAGGTGTTGTCATATCGCAAACTAGCTGCAGGACTTAGCACGATGGCAATGGCGTATCGGCAGAACGACAGCCCCTGATGCCCTAAGAGAGCAAGATGGTCTCCATGTTGCCTGGGCCGAGGCCGGACCACCAAGCAGAATTGGTGGATGTTTCGCGGACGAGCCTGTCGCAGGCGGGCGTCTTGCATGCACAGATGGGGCGTCACTGAGGGCCTTGATGCTTGTTCGCGGGGCGCGCTATCAAGGGTCTAATAGCGGCGTCAACTTTCTGCGTCCTCCTGGAAAATCGTGAACAGGGGCATTGAACTGTGACTGGTTTGATGGAAGGTGTCAGGGCTAGCAGAACACCATGGCGCTGACAGAGGAGGGCTAGGAGACCTGCTGCCAGAAGAAATGGTGCCTTTGATCGTCACGGCTTATACAAGTGTTGAGGTTTTGAAAATGCTGGCCACTACTGGTGCCCGCTCTAAAGAGGAAACAAGATCATCAATTGTGACGAACGTGTGCCGTAGATACTGTTGCATGCCTCCGTGACGGAAGACGGCCAGGTGTACCGGGGACCATGATTGTCCTACTATAGTCATGCACAAGCAGCATCGTGGTGTGGTCCCTAATCAGCCCGAGATCGCGGTGAGTGAGATTGTGGAAAACATGACAGTTGCAGAGTGTCATTGACGCACGTGTCTGGGACGTCAACGACTGCAGTCAAAGACAAGGCTTTGCTTGATATCAACTTTGAACGGAGGAGCCAGTGTCAGAAAGGCTTCCCAAGCTTGAATGTCTATGCAAATGGCGGTCTCATCAACATGGACAAAAGGAACATCGTTTCAACCGTTCCAGTTCAAAAGAGCTGTCGTCAACAGTCTTCCAACCGTCGTCAGCCACCAGCCAATGGATACGTTAAGTTATGTTGCAAGCTGCAGGGCCAGACAACGGGCCGAGTCATATCCCCCGCTGAGTACTTCTTGGACATTAAGTGAATTTGAGAACTTGAGAAGTGATCAATCTGCCTCAATAGTTGATGGTGGCCAAGGATGCCAAAGCCGGTGGAGGCATGCTTGATTCTGCGATGCTCGTAGGTCAAGCCGAAGAAGACTGAGAGAAGAGAGCATACAAGATAAGGTACTGCTCGGTGCAAAGGTGGCCACAGAGGTTCTCTTGTCTCAATTGAACCTTTCCTTTTTGATAGTAATCTCCTCCAGTACATGTATTTCCGCGTTTACCTACCAACCTTGCCGGCCGTGTATCACACCAATCGGGGGATATCCATCCCCTCCAAGTTCCAGGAGGAAGCCACAACTTTAACCAAGAACAAACCTTCCAGCCTCCAGTCCTCTTATTAGGTCCTGTTCGAAACATCTTGTACTGTACATACACAACAATGCCTCGGGGTCCTCTGCTGGCGTTGATTTCTCGCTTGATCAATGCCTTTTCCAATAAATTTTACAAGGTTATACGATAAACGATGTTGAAGGCTTGTTATCAATCAAGATTTATAACCGCTTATCGCCTCCACTTGTCATGTCGTCGGCTGCAGTGCCTTATCAAGGATTTCAAGGGCCAAGGATCAACCACAAAAGGAGCAACACGATGTCGACAGTAAATCTACAGTTGGCAGGGATCAGAGGGTCAAACCCCGGACCCCATATGGCCCAGTCCTCGCTCCGTTTGGCGGGGATGGGGTGGGACTGCATCCGCCATATTCTCAGTTGTCTTCACCACGGCGATCTGTTCTCTCCCGATGGGGGTGAGAATGAATGATGATACACAGGTGTGGCTATTTGATCTCCTACCGATGAATATATCCATTAGTGAGGAATGTCATATGGGCAAAAGCCACCATGATACGCCTGATACATGTTCTGGTTGCCAGCAGCCTCATAACATGAAAATTTTCAACAGCTAACACACGAAAAACATCTGCACGTCTTTTCTTTCGCCTAAGGCCAGGCTAAAGCTTGCATCAACAGCCAAGACTGGGTCTTCCCAGGATTGTTTGGGCCATTCGGATGTTGAGAAGTTTTCTAGAATGCAGCTCGCTCCATTCCTTGCCGCAAACTTCAGCTTGATTCAACCCGACAGTTTAAGTGCCGACCCTGTGTGCTCAATTCCTGACACGTTGACTTTCTGTCAAGGCGAAATATTCCGTTGTTCTGGAAAGCACTACAAATATCAAGAGAGTTGCATAATTGATTGGCCTACGGTAGCTATCTCACTGCCTGTCCATTCTAAGGGTTAGCCACAAGGTGCAGAAATGACGAGATGCCATGCGCTTGGGGTTCCACTACTTCATCCCAACCCCTGGATGTGACAGACTGAATTCTTGAAAAACCACCCCAGTCGGAAGTAAGTTCTGATAACCGTCAATCGCGGTTAAACACGTCCAATAATATTGATAGCCTATTATTATTCAGGCTTTATGCGAGGATAACGACAACCGATCTCACATTTTAGTCAACATTAGAGAGTAGGTACGTCGTCCTTCAGACCATATAATATGAAGGCTGCTCTGTTGGTCTCGTAAGAGAGCATATGGCCACAGCCCAAGGCATGACTGGACAAACAACTCGCTCCCACACAGTTCAAAGCATGAGAATCACCAAGTTGGATGTAACGTGAAACATGCTATGCGTAGGGAGGCAATCGCAATCTCTTCAGACCGCCTCTTCCTTGAGCACGACATAGTACATGCTTGCTTGGCCTCACTCAACCAGGCATCGTCTCGTTACAAGAGCAGACAGAGAGCAGAATACAAATATTGGGCCCACGTAAACTCTATTTTAAGAGAATACAAATAATACAAGACACATGTTAGCTCCCTCTACATACTCAGGAAGAAGGTTATGGGGATAGCCAACCAGCTGCACATGTGTCTCCAGGCAGTATTTGATAGGATGTCGGTCTCAAACCTCCGCTTGAGGCCTTCATTTAGAAACAGCCCTATGGATGCTGTCCGGCAACCATTGGAACCTGGAAAGCTGGCTGGTTTTAATTCGGGCATTGCTGACAGTCTTGTTCATGCAAGATTGACGGGATATGCTATTCAACTGAGGTTAAGAGCTTACGCCATTGCTCCCAAAGCTTTCGAGGTGACACAGCATATGTGTACAGCAGGTTTCGCCATAACCATCATAGAAATGCAATCTACCACCTCCAAAGTCTCAGACAGATGTTCTGTACGACCGTTACATGGCGTGAAGTGTTATTCTGCAGCTTGGCCTCGGTCAAGATTAGAGTCGGGGTCCTCCAGACCGGATTTCAGCATAAGACAAGGTATGTCCAATGAACTCAAATTATCTTATCTATTGGAAGACTTTCTCAACATGAGTACCAAGGCTCATGCGAACGATGAAGCATACTCCTCAGACCTCATTTGTGATTATGAATAACGCTATGATGATTCTTTGTCACGGCTTTCACTTGGTACACCGGTCATCACGTCGCATCTTCCACATTTGGGAGCTGGGAGATGTGCAGTCTTCCTTGTAACCCACCAACTCTATACACCGCCATCCCTTCAAGATCGAACGATGGTGATAAATGACAATGAGATTCCAGCAGCGCAATGACATTATCAAAAGTCTGGTGTTGCTGTTACATGGCATCTCCATACACACCACGGCGTTTGATATAAATTTATGAGGCCTTAGACGAATAGAAGACCACGGACGCAACGATAAAGAAAATCGGTTTTACATATGACACCAGGCTCAGAGCAATGCTATCAAAAAGAGGAGGGAATCTGATGCAAGCCCCTTATTCATCATCCACATAGTGCACTTGTTGCTGTTGCAGCTTAGAAGGTGCTGGCCGCCAGTCGGCTCGCAGCATTTCTAGCATCCACACGATCCTCATCATCCTCTTCGTTGACACCCTTAAGGCCGGCACGGCCGCCCGTCTGTCGCCCTTGGGCTGTCTCGGTGCTCTCTTCGCTCTCGCCCTCCTCTGACACCTTGCTGATGAGACTGCCTGACACGCTGCGACCCGTGGCATCTGAACGGCGAGGAACGCCACTCCAAGAGTCACCCTTGGGACCTTGACTGGCGGCGAGACTCGATCGACGCACGGTTGGATGCGACTCACGACCCAATCGGCTCAATCCGCCTGAGGCGTCAATTGATCGAATATCCGGTCGGACCGTCTCCAGCAGGGCCAGAGTCCGCCTCTCAGCTTCAATCTCTCTGAGCACATATTCCCTAATGCTCAGACGGAGATCAGCAGAGGTTCTCGAGAACCACTTGCGACGCTCCTGGACCAGGTTTTGGGTGACACGGTTGGTCTTGTTGTACAAGTAGGTCTCGTGCTGGCGAGCGTCGTCCAATGCTGTGATGGCCTCGTCCACCTTTTCACGGCGAACACTCGAACTGGCCTTGAGGCGATCAGCCGCATTGAGCTTGCTACGGGTAGCTTCCTGAGCTTGTAGGAATTCGCGAATCAGAATCTGACGGTTGGTAAGGGACTCCTTGACAATGAAAGCGTCTTGTGAGTGATATTGGAATGGGTCGCCAATAGTTGTGGCCTCTGCTGTCGCTTGGGCAGCATGGTAGTCGCCGACGGTCTGGACGACTTTACCTAGCTTTCGATAGGCGTTTGCCAAGCCAGGATGGGGTTCCTGAACATGCATACTTGTGAGTTTAGCACCGTAATCGGCTTCGGAAAGGCCGAGTCCTAAATACGTTTAATATGCTGGACTTGTGCGGTCTGTCGGAAGCTTACCTCTCCTGGCCTTGACCAGCTTATCGACCTTGTGGCCGGCATCCATGCTACCAAGATAAAAGAGCTTGACGGTTGGACGTGCATCCGCAAGCTCAGGGGTATCATCAGGGGGGGGAGCGAACTGCTTCAAAATCTTTCTGCGGACGCCTGTCGCTGGCTGCTTCTTCTTCACCATAGGGCTATAACCAAAGTCACTCTCCACAAAGAGCACCATCTCGTCGTCCCGCATTAGGATTTCATTACCACAAACGTAGTTCAACCATCGCTGCATGAGGGCCTTGACCCGAATCTCGTCCTCGTCTGTCCCAGCTCCAGCGGAGGTCAGAGGCGGCGGGACCGCGGGAACAAGGACCTCTGGGTTCGCAGATATCAGATGATCGGCAAGTTTAACAAACTCGGAGTGTAAACGGCGAACATCTCGGAATTGAGTTGTTCGAAAGCGGGGAATGTTTGTCTGTGACACGTCAGTCCATCATGAGGGGGCAAAAAGACCTTAGAAAGCATACGTGAACATCGAATCGGAGGATGGGATCCTTCTTGCCGGTGCGTTCAAGTCCCGTAATCTTGGCTTGGAGTCGATACTGAGGCCCGGCCGGTTTTTGGGGGGGCGGTTCCTGTCCAGACTGTGAAACCGGTGCACCACCCTGGTTGTGTTGCTGGCTATGCGCTTGAGCTTGTCCTTCCTCCCCAGCTGACGGTTCAGCGGCTGTGGATTGCGACTGTGCCTCTGAAGTATTCAGTGTACCCGAAGCCTCAGTATCGTCTTCAGTGCCGGAGGCTGTAGTCGCAGTCCCTGGACGCTGGAATTCTTCAGACTGAGATGTAGACTGGTCCTGAGACAGGCCATTCGAGGATTGTGGGTTGTAGCGAAAGGGAGGAGCAGCATCAGCTGAGGCGGGATTGAAGGCAGCAATGTTGTTTCGCGATGGAGACGACACAGGGGAGTTGCCCCATGGTGAATCCCCAGCGGGATCCTCCACGTCGTGGATCGTGGAGCTGTAGTCCATCGCGAGTGAAATATCAAGGATATAATTTGGCGATTGTGTCGGTTGGGCGATTGTTGATGGGAGAGAGAAGCTGGAGGAATGACGTTGCGTTGGTTCTGCGCGCGCTTGACCTAGGTCCAGTCGGTGGTCGGCAGGGACGGACGGGGGTAGCGAGCAAGATGGAGGTGGAGTGCGGGTACCAAGTTGGGCCAGAGGAGCTGCTCGGATTCAAGGTGATGGGCAGAGGACTAATAGCCCTCCAGGAGTAATTCATACTC